TTCAGCATATGGTACTGGCAAACTTCAAATAATTGAAGGAAGGATGACTGGAAAAATGTACAGAGACATTCTTGATAAAAATCTGCTTCCATCTACCAGGATGATGAAGATGAAACGTGGCTGGACATTTCAGCAAGACAATGAGCCCAAACACAAAGCCAAGGAAACTCTCAGTTGGTTTCAGAGAAAGAAACTAAAGCTGCTGGAATGGCCCAGCCAATCACCTGACCTGAATCCAACAGAAAATCTATGGAAAGAACTAAAGATCAGAGTTCATAGAAGAGGTCCACGAAACCTTCAAGATTTGAAGACTGTTTGTGTGGAAGAATGGGCCAAAATCACACCTGAGCAATGCATGCCACTAGTTTCTCCATACAGGAGGCGTCTTGAAGCTGTCATTGACAACAAAGGCTTTTGTACAAAGTATTAGATAAATTTCAGTAAGTGTGTTCAATACTTTTTCCCTGTGCCATTCCACATTATTACAAATCACTTCATTTCTGGACATTTATGGTTTGATTTCTTTGTATGTATGGATCACTTGGGTTGTTACCGACATCTGGTGAAAATTTCATGTCATTAGCACCTCTAGTAATATATTTACTGAGAAAAATGGTGACGTGTTTAATACTTATTTTACCTGCTGTATGTGTAACCTATACCTCTGTGCATTCACTCCATTGTTAGAGTCACAGCAGCATGCAGGGGGAAAAAAATTGCTTTTTGATGTTTTATGCTGATTCTTGGCAATTCCCTCCTCACCTTGGCACAAACACAATACATTTTCAGCTTGTGTTGCTGCCTAATTTAATTWATTTATTTATTTTCCCTCTGAATTGCAGGCTGCCACCTTCAAAGCTCGTGATAGGAAATAACCCAGACACAACAGAAGCGCGATGTGTTTGATTCGCACGCCACGCCGAGCTCCTAAATCACCGCCTTTTAAGACCACAGTCTGCAGGGGGGATGCAGGCTGAAGGATGGAAACAAATTTTTCCACGTGCAGCCTACACTGGCTTTTCCACACGCTGGATTAAAGTTAGGTGGCGTCGCAGCTCCCTCCAGTGTAAAACGACTGACAACATGATGCAATTAAAGCAGCTCTGAAACAAATCAGCTCATTCTAAAAGCTTTGATTTTGCTCTTTTGCATGGTCTAAAATGTTCCCACCTGCCTCACACTTATGTTAAACACTCCTGATTGGAATACAGGAAGAGCCTGCAGCAGAGGGAGCCTTACAGAAAACTCTGCTCAGTTCAGTTTGTCTCAGTGATTGAATTCATTGCTGCCCAGGTTGGACTGGAACCTGTTTAATAAAGTGATCGTGTTGGTTATGTGTCTGCAGAGCGAGATGTTTAGCTTTATTATTATTCACAAATATAACCTGTCAGTGTGTTTGTTGATGATGCATTATGGTTTTAGATTGTAGGAGAGAACTGAAGTACAACAACAAAATGCAGGGAAAAAAGTAAACAAGGATTACTTGTTGGTGCATTGAGACAGAATGAAACTCATCACYGCCTCCAGAACAAAAGCCTGCGATGTTTTTGTTTTGTCTGTTTTTCATGTTTAAAAAAGATTTATGAACCACTTTAACATTTAGAAAGATCATTTGTATCATTTGATGTTTTGTATAGTGGTATTAATTTATATTTTCAGATCTTCCAAGGTGCCAATTATGGAACTCTCTGTGCATTGCTGCCCAAATCAAATTCTGGAAGTGGTCATTCAGCTAGATCTGTTACAAAAGGACAACTGATATTACCAACGTTTAAAAACTGTTACGGCCAG